CTTCTAGATGCAAAGCATCTACTGCAGTGGGAGAAACAGGCAATACAGTGTGTGCGTTCAATTGATCAAGTGAATGTCCAGCTACCAATTCTGAGTTGAGTCCTGTTGGCTCAATAGGTATTGAGTCAGTATCCTGATTGTAAGAGACGGCATCAGTTTCCTTGACATAAGGAACATCATATGGGTTGCTAAGATCACCTCCTAGTGGCCAAGGAGCATGAGGGAATGATTGTTCCTCAGTGAAAGGAAAATGTTGTTCATAAAAGATAACATTCCTTGAGAGGAATATCTGTTTGGAACTGATATCATAAAGTACAAAGCCTTTCACTCCATCCTTGCGACCAAGATAAACACATTTCCTTGCTCTAGGGTCAAACTTTGAACGATTACCCATAGTTGTAGAAGCATAAGCTAGGCACCCAAAAGCCTTGAGATGCATGATTGTTGGTGGCTCAGCATATAACAATTCAAATGGTGATTTATTTGCTAACACAGGAGTGTTCAACCGATTAATTAGATGAATGGCATGCATAATACAGTAAGACCATAAACCAGGAGGGATTTTACTTTGGAAGAAAATTGCTCTAGCCATGCTCAATATGTGTTGATGTTTTCTTTCCACTACTCCATTTTGCTCAGGAGTTTCAACACAAGAAGTCTGATGTAATATGCCTCTTTTATGAAAATAATCAGTCATCAAGAATTCTGGTCCATTGTCACTACGAAATGCTTTGATGGTTCTGTTAAATTGATTTTCAATGAGAGATACAAATGATTGAATGTGATTTCTCACCTCTGATTTGGCTTTCATGAGAATTCCCCAAGTAAAACGGGTATTGTCATCAACTATAGTTAAAACATATCTATAACCATGTATTGATGGAATTGAACATGGCCCCCATATATCAACATGCACAAGATCAAAAGGGGAAGCTGAACGTGTATAGCTAATAGGAAAAGGTATTTTTCTTTGTCTTGCTAAATGACAAATGTCACAAGGATCATCAATGTTTTTACATGTAATAAAAGGAAATTGGAGCATCATTGCTCTTATTACAGCTTTGGAACAGTGGCCCAAACGTAAATGCCACACATCATCTATACAGTTTTTAATAGCATAGCTATTTTTAGAAAAATCAACTATTCTCTCTGTCTTCACATTGCCTTCCTGAGTATGGATGGACTTATCTTCACTGTTGGAAGTTTGTTTAAGGACATACAATCCCTTGTCTAACTCAGCAGAACCAATCATCTTCCTTGATGGTATCTGCTGAATAATGCAAATTTGATGCTGAAACAATACATGGCAGTTAACGTCATGAATAAGCTTGTTAACTGATATAAGATTCACAGTAAACCCTTCGACATACAGGACATTTTTCAAGGTCAAACAGTCTGTGAGCATGGCTACACCAGAATAGTGAGAGTATACAACATTTCCATTTGGTAGAGAAATTGGAATGGGATCAATTTTCATGACATGACATAAACTTGCATAACAACAAGTAATATGATCTGTTGCTCCAGTGTCTAGAATCCATGGGATTGAAAAATTACCTTGAGATTTTGATGCTTCATCGCTTATGTTGAAAGCCTTAGTGTGCACCAAATTACTCATGTGTGTAGTTGAGTTTTGTTGCTGCATTTGCTGCTGAATCATGTCAAGTATAGCTTGATACTGACATTTGGTAAAGCTGTCCTTTCCTTGATCAGCCAAGTTGATATAGGGTAATGCTTCTGCTCCTTGATTCTCATCCATTACCCCAGCTGCATTTGCTCTGTGTACAGGATTTCTCTGCCTATATCCTGGAGGATACCCATGTTTCTCAAAACATGTGTCAACAGTATGGCTAGTTTTCCCACAGTGAGTGCATAGCCTAGATGATCCTGTCCTCCCTCGTCCTGCTATGAACCCACGACCTCTGCCTCGAAAGGTTCCTCGTCCTCTTGCATAATTCTGATCAGCAGAATTATAAAAAACTTTTGGAGCTTCAAACTTCGGAACAGTACCTTCCAAGTGCATGATTTGCCTCTCTTGCTGAGTCACCAACGAAAAAACTCGATTCACATTAGGTAACGGGTCCATTAGCATGATCTGAGATCTTACATGAGTGAATTGATCATTTAATCCTTTTAGGAACCTGATGGAGTAGTCTCTGTCACGAATCTCCTTGACTTGTGTAGCAATCGAGCAACATGGTTTAACACATCTACATGTAGGTGTAGGTTGCAAAGCTTCAAGTTCATCCCACAGTATTTTTAGCTTTGTGTAATAATCACTAATGGAACTATCACCTTGTTGCAAGAAGCGTTCCTTCAAATTATTCCACACATCAACTGCACAATCCATCCAGAGAATGGATTGCGAAATAGAATCAGCAATCGATCGGTGTAACCATGAAATCACCATGGTGTTGCACCTTTCCCACGCAGCAAATTTAGGATCTGAAGTTTCTGGAACTGAAATCGTTCCATTGACAAAGGAATACTTATTCTTTGAAATCAAAGCCATTTTCATGGCTCTAGCCCAGCCATGGTAATTTCTCCCACTCAATGGTGCAGAGACCAACACAAGTGAAGGATTTTCACTTGGATGAAGGTAATAAGGATTACCTGGATCTGAAATATCAAAAGCGGAAGCTTCAGAAGTGGAGTTCTGATTCGCCATATCACCTCTCTCGATGAATACGATTTACGAAGATGAAAAGGAACAGCAAAAATTTGAACGGCGATTATCAGAGCTCCACATAGAGCTCTGATACCATCTTACAAAATGTAATAAACTGGAAAGTCATCAATGAATTGAATAATCAAAAAGTATCAACAATTTACAGAGGAGGGCCTATTAATAGTATTGGTCCTAGATGAAATGAATCGGTGCAAGTCCAACCATGTGGACAAAACTGTAAACTAACTATAACAGTGAACTAACCATGACATAAGGTAAACTAACTGATTATAACAGAAAGTAGTTAAGATTATAACAGAAAGTAGTTAAGATTGATATCTATCATCTTACAAAATGTAATAAACTGGAAAGTCATCAATGAATTGAATAATCAAAAAGTATCAACAATTTACAGAGGAGGGCCTATTAATAGTATTGGTCCTAGATGAAATGAATCGGTGCAAGTCCAACCATGTGGACAAAACTGTAAACTAACTATAACAGTGAACTAACCATGACATAAGGTAAACTAACTGATTATAACAGAAAGTAGTTAAGATTATAACAGAAAGTAGTTAAGATTGATATCTATCATCTTACAAAATGTAATAAACTGGAAAGTCATCAATGAATTGAATAATCAAAAAGTATCAACAATTTACAGAGGAGGGCCTATTAATAGTATTGGTCCTAGATGAAATGAATCGGTGCAAGTCCAACCATGTGGACAAAACTGTAAACTAACTATAACAGTGAACTAACCATGACATAAGGTAAACTAACTGATTATAACAGAAAGTAGTTAAGATTATAACAGAAAGTAGTTAAGATTGATATCTATCATCTTACAAAATGTAATAAACTGGAAAGTCATCAATGAATTGAATAATCAAAAAGTATCAACAATTTACAGAGGAGGGCCTATTAATAGTATTGGTCCTAGATGAAATGAATCGGTGCAAGTCCAACCATGTGGACAAAACTGTAAACTAACTATAACAGTGAACTAACCATGACATAAGGTAAACTAACTGATTATAACAGAAAGTAGTTAAGATTATAACAGAAAGTAGTTAAGATTGATATCTATCACCCCCCCCTCAAGTTGGAAGGTATATATCTATCATCCATCACAAATAAAGTTGCGACCCAAGAATTTGTGACGAAATTTCTTAAATTTTGTCACTAATAAGATTTTTTTCTTGTAGTGACTCCAAATTATTCCGATAGCCGGTTCAAAGAGTCGAAGCTTGTGAGAATAGTGAGGGAAGCCAACTTATCTCGAAGAGATAATTATAGTCGGATTAACTCCAAAAAAAAGTATTGAATTCACTTATTATGAGAAATTGTCACATAGCTTATTAATGCATGGTAGTCTCCCCATGGCCAGCTAACCATGATATTTGAGGTAGCGAATTGGCTACGTCGAACCATGATATTGGAGACAACGATTTAGCTAAGTCATGTATTTAAAAATGATGAGTAAATAATATTTCTTGCACAATATCTCTGAATTTCTCAATATGAGTGGGAAAAAAGAGAGAGTAAAGAATGTGGCCTTAGTTCAAGCTTGTTGCCTCCTCCAAGGTCATATTGTGGAACCAACCAATTTGTGGAACGTATCCCAAGGTTCTTTACATGGTATCAGAGCCTCACCGTCTCCCACTTTAAAAAGTGGAATTAAAATAAAAAGCACAAAAAGGTAAACCAAAAATTGGGCCTGTGCAATTTCACGCTTCTCGCCCAAAGGGCTCTTGCGTGAGGGGGCGTGTTGAGATATATAGTCTCACATTGATTGGATGGGCAACTAATATGGCCTTTATAAGGCCTTGGACACTCTCACCCTTTGAACTAGCTTTTGGGGTGGTGTATCCCAAGATTCTTTACAGAACGTAACCAAAACTTACACTGAAAAACTGCATAAATACTTCAAGAATATTTATGAGAAATGTTTCTTAAATAATATCTCCCAATTAAGAGTAGAAATTGAAAACAATATACAGAAATTAGAAGAAAAAAAAAGGCACGTGACCAAAAAAAAAAGAATGTGGCCATTAATTTGTTTCCCTTATGTTTAATGCATGGGGATTGCAAACAAGGGTGACACACCGTCAACACGTAAAAGGGTGGTCCCCAAACATATAAAGCAGCTTATCATCTTTACCACACACTTCCTCGTAGAAGAGCCAATGTCCTTCTCATTCACTTAAAACATTGTCTTCATATATTGCCATTAAAAGGCAGAACCTGTATGCATATATTTGTGTGAACTGTGAAGAATCTCACCACACCCCTCAAACTCAAACCCAAGAACAAAAAGAAAAAAAACACAATGAAAGGAAACAAGCCCTATCTAGTTGTGATTGTCATACAAGCCATATACGCTGTCATGTTTTTGCTCTCAAAAGCTGCATTCAACCATGGCATGAACAATTTCATCTTTGTCTTCTACAGACAGGCAGTAGCAACCCTTTTTCTCATCCCTTTCACACTCTTCTTTGAATGGTATGTACATATGTCTTATATACTCATCCCCTAGATATATATAGATGATCTTAATTCAACTTTTTTTTTTCCGGGGTAATAATATGCAAGTTTTGATTATTGAAAGCTACCAATACGTTTACCGTTTTTTACTGTAGGAAAGCTGCACCTCCTTTGCCTTTCGGGACATTCTGCAAGATTTTCTTCCTTTCATTCTGTGGGTAAGTCCATATATTGAGTTGATATGTAATGTATTAAAGTGGAAGCATAGTGTTGTGTTACATTAATTACATGATTTAAACCATATATGGCGTTGCTATAGTGAAGTTGTCCTGTTTTTTCCCCCCTTCATTAATATTGTACTAATTTTCAGGATTACTCTAAGCTTGGACATATATGGTATTGGTCTTGTTTACACCACTCCAACTTTGGCTGCTGCTACCACAAACTGCCTTCCAGTTATCACTTTCTTCTTAGCTCTCCTACTCAGGTGAAGTACAAAAGATCAAGTTCACATGATTGCTTTGCATTTTATTCAATTATAGTTAGTTATCCTAGTGGAGTGAGTTTTGAAGCAGTCGTAAAAGTTGTTTCTTGTGACTGAATTGGAGTTTGGAAATCAGCCCCTTTACAAAAATGTAAAGGTAAGGCTAAGCACAATTGAACTTCATCTCTATCTCGTTGTTCGATCATTAATGATTTTTGCAGGTGACTAAAGATTCCGGTTTTCAGCTTTTGCATAGATTCTCTATGAATAACACACCGAGCGCACCTAAAATTTCTCATATTTGATATTCCTCTCTTCTTCGGACAGGGGACTAGAGAAAGCATGAATAAAATTAAGCACATGTAGTTTTAATTTATCACAGATCATGAGATCGTATACAGTGAATATGTAACATTTAGACAGAGAATCACACCGGTACATACTTCAAATACAAATATGAGGGTATCCTGAGAGTCGACACAAATAAAATTAAAAAAAAAGGGGTAAAGATAACGCACTTAAAAAGACCACCTATCAGATCATAGATTCGGTTCATATTTTCAAACAACTTTTGCAAATTTTCAAGTGATTCTCACCGGATATTTATTTTTTAATTAATTATTTAGGAGAGAGATATCTTTATAAACTTTTTACTTATAAACTATACTATATATTCCGGAGAACACCCCTACTCAGGAATGTACTCTGAGGAGTACATAATATAATTTTTTAAAATTTGTAAAAAAAAATTTATAAATATAAAATATCATTGTTGGCAAAGTTGGTTGAGCTGGCTCAACGCTGTCTTAGCTCACATTCAAAAAGCTTACATGTTAGCTAAGGTCCTAACAACCCCTGGGTGTGTTATGTCAGGAACTTGAAAATTTCAATTAAAATTTTAAAAATAACTTTCTTGAGGGGATAACCTTGATCGGGGAGTTTTTTACCCCATGGTGTCACTCACTTTTCGAGATCACGTGATTCGTGAAACGACTGTTTCTAAAAAGAAAAACGTCCATGTTATGATCATTGAATTTATATCTCCATGCAATAATACAAATTATGTCATAGTGGTTGGCGTCAACCCCAGCAAAATGAACCACTTTGAACCGTGTGACATTTCATTATAGGTATTTAATTTTCCATTTAATATGCTATTAATCCACGTGACAATTTTACATTTCAGAATTGAGAGTTTGAAAATAAAGACACCCGCTGGGATTGCTAAATTGGTAGGTATTGTGGCATGCTTGGGTGGTGCAGCAACCCTTGCCTTTTATAAAGGTCCAAATTTCAAACTTCTAAGCCATCATCACCTTCTGGGATACCATAAAAGCCAACAACAACAAGGTCATGCTTCATCATCTGGTACATGGATCAAGGGTTGCTTCTTACTGCTCCTGTCGAACACGTTTTGGGGGTTGTGGCTTGTGCTGCAGGTAATCTTTATTTTATTTTATTTTTCCCTTTTGTGATCAACTCATAAGTCATATATCCCTAATTACTTAATATTATATATCTAGTTATCTGAGTTTTTCCTTGTTGATTTAACCAGGCTTTTGTTATAAAAGGTTACCCTTCAAAACTGCTCTTCACAACTCTTCAGTGTTTCTTAAGCTCAATTCAGTCTTTGGTCGTTGCCTTGGCCATAGAAAGGGACGTTGAGCAATGGAAGTTGGGTTGGAATGTCAGGCTCCTCGCTGTAGTATACTGTGTAATCCTCTCAAACTTTACAACTAAATTCATTAACTTTTATCTCTACATAAACATTATGAAATCATTCTTGATGCAAAAAAAATTATCTTATATCACTCGAAAATATATATATTTATAATATTAAAGCTATTTTTTTTCTTGTTTGTTGATATAAAGATAGAAAAAAAAACAATATTTTTTAATATATAATTTTAATATTATAATTATATATTTCCCAAAATACATAATTATAATGTGTGACGTAAGATAACTTTTTTTGCAGCAACATGATAAAAAAGTAACTTATATATAATCTATAAACTCATGACTGATCGGAATCAATTTGTAATGATAGGGAATTATGGTCACCGGGGTCACATATTACTTACAGACATGGGTTATAGAGAAGAAAGGACCTGTATTTCTAGCCATGTCAACGCCACTGGCTCTGATTATTACAATCTTCTCCTCTGCAATTGTCTTGGGCGAGATAATAAGTTTGGGAAGGTAACTTAGTTCCACTGATAAATTTTCGAAAGTTTCAATTTTTGTCTTTTACTAGTGGCTATTATTATAAATTGTAAACTGATACTCTTTACACTTATTCAATTACTCTATAAAGATTGGTCTAATTCCTGCATAAAAAGACTTATGATATGTTTGAGTTTTGTGCAGGAACCCAATCTATAAATCGAGATAATATTAGTGTCAATTTAAAATTACCAATTAATTCAGTGATTGCTTTTGGTGTTTTATCAGCCTTTTAGGTGGGTTCGTATTGGTTCTAGGACTCTACAGCGTCCTGTGGGGAAAGAGTAGAGAACAAATGTCGAAAGCTTCGCTAGACTTGGAGCAAGCATCGGGTTAGAGTGAACTCGCAATTGCAATGATGCATATGGGATATGTGATATTTTTTTGGCACAAGCTACATTGTTAAGAAAATATATGGTTGTGAAGAAGGCAATACATATTTTGGAATGTTTGCCAAAATTTTGCCAACAGTTAATGCATCTCAGTGCTTAAGCCTGCGGATATGTAGCAAGGAGCAGATTAAAATATAAATCTCTGAGTAACCCCTTTTAGGCCCAAGCTACATTGTTTAGTCTTTCCATTATAATATTGGGTTGTAGACTTGTAGGTGCTATTTTATGTTTTTCTGTGCTAACTAGGTTGTAATGAAATAAATCTTTGGTATTACTATTATACCTAGATTCAGTGCATCTCATCAATGAGAGCATTACACATAAGAGGAGAAAAAAAAAATTTGACAAAAAAAATAAAAATTTAAATGATATGTAATATTTTCATTGGTAAGATGTACTGAATCTTTGGTACAGCAATAGTACCAAAGATTTATTCGTTGTAATGGTCTCATATTCCGGATTGTAAGCCTTTCAATTTTTCCTGGTTATTTTTCGAATAATTGAACCTCAGTATAAGATTTTATATTATATGGTTGTCTATTTAGGAAACTCGTTTGAAAGCCACAAACACGAGCACGTTCAAAACCTTTGAGCAAATTCATTTAGGCCTATTCGGTGCTTTCTGTAGAAAGTTTCATGTTAAATAAAATTATCTTAAACGAAAATTGGAGAGAAAAAAAATGAAAGAACACTTCATCATAAAATCATATAAACAATTGACCTAAGATCATTGTTAGGCGACTTAGGTCCAGTTATGTGACATAAAAGTCTAATCCAAATAATTTCAATATCATAAACATTAATATAAGATCATCCAAATTCTCATATCATGCAATCTGCTAAAGGTAAATAAACGATTCTGTAACATGTATTTGATTCCCCACTATATAAAACTCACCACCAAACAAACATGCATGTGTGCTGATATACATGTTTACCCGAAAAAGCGCAAACACACACATATATATGTTGGGAACTAGGTTCCCTCAACTTGGCACGGAAACGTATCGCAAATCAAATGTTGAGCTCGGAGCTCGGCAAACACAATCAGAGGTCGGCCTGAGTTACCAGGTCGGCTTGTATGCAACAGAAATAGAAAAATGCAAAGGAGAGAGATAGATATGAACACAGTCAAGTTATTTTACGTGAAAAAACCTTCTCCAAAGTGAAGAAGTAAAAATACACGGAAAACTAGTTCAGAATCAAACTTTCACTATGTAAATAATGGGTTACAATATATCAAACTTCACCAACAAGTGGTGGTACACTCAATCCTCACCTTTAATGGTGGTATTCTATCAAACTTCCCTAAGGAGATCTAACACTCAAGCTTATCCCTAGAGGTGCTCTCAAATTCTAGGCTCTAAGCCTTTCTTCAAATTTCTCCCAAAATAGTCTAACCTTAACCTCTTATATACCACAAGCTTATATAGGAGAGGAAGAGGGATTTAGAATATGAAAGTGGAGACTAGGGTTTCTTGAGCCCACAAAAGACAACATTGGGCATTGGGTAGCATTTAAGGAGGAATGACTCAAAAAATCTCCCCCTTCCGACTTCAATGCATCGTCATCATGTACAGCCCAACACCTTCACTGCAGTCTTCAAATTCCTTTGCTGGTACCGACTTTGTCATCATGTCGGACCAACTGAAGTCGGTGTGCACTTTGACAAGTTCGAGCTTTCATCCTCTTCCACATACCAGATCCAATAATACCTCACATCAATATGTTTAGTGCAGGAGTGATAGGTCGAATTCTTCGCATGATGAATTGCGCATTGATTGTCACATTTTACCTCATACTTGTCTTGTTCATGGTCGAGTTCAGAGAGAAACTTCTTCATCCACATCATTTCTTTGCAAGACTCAGTTGTGGCTATACACTCGACCTTAATTGTTGAAAGAGCCACAAAATTGTATAATTTATATTGCCAGGAGATAGCTCTCCCTGCAAATGTCATCAAATATCTCGTCGTCGACTTCCTCGAGTCAGCATCTCCCCTTAAATCAGCTTTCATATAGCATTTCAACTCGGTTTATCTTCTCCAAATCGGAGGCATAAATTTGTTGTTCTCCTAAGATACTTGAAAATCCATTTGACAGCTTCTCAATGCTCTTTGTCAGGGTTCGGTAGATACCTACCCACCATTCCATTAGCATACGCCAGGTCGGGTCTCATATATTCCATTGCAGACATCAAACTTTCGACGGCAGATTAGTACAGGATCTTCAATATCTCTTTTTTTTCTTCATCAAACCTCGGACACTGCTTCTGACTCAGCTTAATGTGTCCGGCTAAGGGGGTGCTCACTGTCTTGGCTTTGTCCATGGTAAATATCTTCAAGATCTTCTCAATGTATTTTTCTTGACTTAGCCACAGTAGCTTTCTAGGTCAATTTTTGATAATTTTGATTTAAAGTATCTATTTTGCAGGGCCGAGGTCATTCATTGCGAAAGACGAGCTTAACGCCTTCTTAAGGAGGCTATCCTCATCTTGTCTTGCCCTACAATCAGCATGTCGCCAACATATAATAGTAAGACCAAGAGGTCTCCAGCTTCATACCTTTTAACAAACATGTAGTGATCGGCTTCAGTCTTCACAAACTTGTGCTCAGTCATGAAAAATTCAAACTTTTTGTACCACTGTCGAGGTGCTTGCTTTAAGCCGTACATGATCTTCTTCAATCGGCAGACTAAGTCTTCTCATCCCGGAACTCAGAACCTTTCTGGTTGCTCCATATAAATCTCTTCATCAAGGTCGCCGTGAAGGAATGCTGTCTTTACATCCATTTGTTCTACTTCAAGGTCCAATGAGGCTGCCATGACTAACACGGTTCTGACCGAAGTCATCTTCACCACTGGAGAGAATATTTCTTCAAAATCTACACCATTCTTCTGATTGCAGCCTTTCACCACAATCATGGCCTTGTATCTAGACTTCTTGTCGTTCTCCTCATGCTTGATTTTTGTAAACTCATTTATTTTTCAGAGCTCGTCTTCCTTGAGGTAGCTCCATCAGTTTATAAGTTTGATTTTTATGCAAGGACTTCATCTCGTCCTGCATTGCCTTCTCTCATTCTTCTTTTGTCTGAGCTTGTCATGGCCTCATTATAACTTTGAGGTTCACCGTCTTCAGCAATAACAGTGTACTCTTCAGGTGGGTACCTTGCAAAAGGTCATCTCACAAACGAAACTCGGTGCTACTTTCCAACTAGGCAATGCATGCAGCTCTTCATCATTTGGCCTTTCAACCCGATCAAGAGTTCTTTCTTGTTCAGGATTTGAATTCCCTTTTCGCTCATGTGGCTGAGGCGCTTGAACCACAACTCCATGCTAGGTCCGTCACAGACAGAGTTGGCTTTTCACCATTTATTTTTCCTTGCATCACGTATAATTAAGAAGCCTTCCATTTTACCTCGGGCCACCACAAGTTTCCGTTGACCAATTTCCATCTTCCATTTCCGAAGTAGTTCACTAACATGACATCATCAAGCATGCCAACGGAGATTAGATTCAAACGCATGTCAGGCACATGCCTTACATTTTTTAAAACAAGTCAGCACCAGACATCCGTGGTCATGGTCACGTCACCGACACCAACAATTTTGTTGGTCACCTAATTTTCCATCTTCACGACTCCGAAATCACCACTCCCTTAAGAGGAGAAAAAACCTTTGTGTGGAGTAACATGGAAGAAGACATCTGAGTCTATAATCCAAGTGCAGTCATCATATGCAACATTCAAAAAATTATCTTCTTCGAGTAGAAACGTGTTGCAAATCAAATGTCGAGCTCAGCGCTCGACAATCACAATCAGAGGTTGACCTGAGTCACCAGGTCGGCCTATACGTAGTGGAAAAATGAAAAATACAGAGAGAGATAGAGATGAACATAGTCAAACTTCCACTATGTAAAAAATGGATTACAATAGATCAAACTTCACTAACAAATGGTGGTATACTCAAACCACTCTTTTAATAGTGGTATTCACTTAAATTTACCTGAGGAGGTCTATCACTCAAACTTCTCCCTATAGGTGCTTTCAAATTCTAGGCTCTAAGTCTTTCTTCAAATTTCTCTAAAAAATTATCTATCCTAACCTTTCACATACCATAAGCTCATATAGGTGAGGATGAGGGCTCCAGAATATGAAAGTGGGGACTAGAATTTCTTGAGCCCCACAAAAAATGACATTAGACCTTGGGTAGCATTTAAGGAGGAATGACCCAACAATATGTATACAAACAAATTTACAATATTAAAAAAACACAAAAGTAACTAAAAATTAGAGAAAATAAATAATTTGATTTTAGAAAATGGATAAAAAATTTATTAGATAGGTCGATCGTCTCTGCTTAACAAAAGATACACTTTTGAGGTGTAAGTTTTATCAATTTAATTTAAAGTGTATTGTAATTTTAATTTCACTAAAATTTAAGAATATATATAGTTTAATTGGCTTTTTGACCCTTTTGCCCCTCATTAATTAATTAATAACCAATTTGCCCCTCCCCCAAAACTACCCACCATCCTACCCCCATTTAATCGATCAAGTTGAATATATAGTCGATTAAATTGACAAAATACAGGAAACATAAACCCCAAAATTTAATCGACTACAAATGCATCTTGATCGAATAAATTTTGTGGAGATTTAATCAACTAAAAGCATTATTTAGTCAATTAAATTACGCAGAAAACCCTATATGCAGCCCTTTCTCGATCACATTTGAAATATTTTCGTTTTGTAAGCCATTCTATCTCTTGTTTGTCATCTGTGATCCTTCCAATCACGATTACATTGCATCCCACCATCTCCAAACCCTTAATATTGTGAAATCATTGTCATTCTACTTATATTCTCATTTGTTGCCCCCAAAATCCGAACCCAAAACCCCCAAATCCGAACCCTACTCCCAAATTCGTGTGAAAGATGAGCTCAAGTC